GTTGGAAGAGTCCTCTTAATACACTGTTATGTGATCTTTTTGTCCTTTTCTTTTGCTTTCTTTTTCACTTTTCTTGTGTTTTCCCTTTCAATATTCTTTGAATTCTTGTTCTTTTCATTTCCTTTATTATTTCATTTCCGTTTTTTCTTGTTATTTATTAACTATTATTGATTTTTTTCATGTTTTATTCTTTTAATTTCTATACTTCCATGAGATATATATAATGTTCGTGTATTATACATATAATGTTCTACAATATGTTTTCAAATGTTTACATAGTATAAGTGAGATGTTCTATGATTATCTTTGAGTATTCACGTAGTACTTTTTGAGATGTTCTACGATGTATTTTAGGATGTTCAAGTAATATCCATGTGATGTTCTTTTTAAAATTTTTCTGTTACATGTTTTCCCTTTTTATTATTTATGTTTCCTCATATGACTTGTTGTGATGTTCATGTAGTATAAATGGGATGATGTTTCACGATTATCTTTGAGCTGTGTTTTTCCATATCATATTTTATTTTTCTTCCACTTATAGATCAATGTTTTCTTTTTTATCATTCTTTCTGTCATATTTTCCTTTTATTTTTTTGTTACATGGCATTTTTTCCATTGTCTTGTCATTTTCCCTTGTTTGTTTTCTCTATTCCTTTAATTCCTATTTCTATAAGATACATATGACGTTCGTGTAGTATACATGCTATGTTTTACGATATGTTTTCAGGTGTTCACATAGTATATATTTGATGTACCATGAATATCTTTGAGTATTTACATAGTACTTCTGAGGTGTTTTGTAATATATTTTAGATTGTTCAAGTAATATCCATGTGGCATTCTTTTTTATTTTTCTCTATTACATGTTTTTTCTGTTTATTATTTCTTTTTCTCCATATGTATTGTTGTGCTGTTTATGTAGTATACATGTGATATTCTATGATATATTTTGCGATATTCACGTAATATAAATGGGATGTTTCACGATTATTTTTGAGTATTTACGTAGTACTCATGATATGTTATATGGTATATTTAAGGTTGTTCTAGTAGTATCAATGTGATGGCCTATGTGTTTTTTATTATGTTTCTTTTTAGGTTTTTTATTATATTTTATTTTTTCTCTAACTTATTTATATTTGATTATCATTTTTTTTCATTAATTTTTAATTTTCATTTTATTTCCATTGTTACATGTTTTTCATGTGTCTTCTTCTTTTCCTTATTTGTTTTTCAAGCTGTCTTCATTTTAACTCATGATATGTTACATGTTTTTCAAGCTGTCTTCATCTGAAGCAATGCAAGGATCGATGGCACAAGATTAACAGGTGGACTGACCTCTTTGAGTGTGCTTAGGAAGGCACTTTTTCCAGAAACTATCTAAATAGGTATGTTCTGTAGACAGCTTGTTTTTCCCTGAAATTTACAATTTTTTCCTGAAGACAGCATTTTTGTTAAGTTCAGAATTTTTTCCCTGTGCAGAGGATATGTTGTGATCTACCTGATACCTGAATGTTTGTTGTGTAGTGGCTGCCCAGTGTTCCTTTTGTTTCACTTACAGTGTGATGGAGTGAGTGTTTTAGTTATCTGAATGTTTGTTGTGTGGTGGTCACATTTATTTATCTGAATCTTTGTTTTTCTTAAACTATGGATCACTGTGCTGCTATGTTATTTACTAACTGAATGTGTTAGAGCTTCAGTCACACAAAAAAAGAGAGAATGTGTTAGAGCTTCTCTGTATTATACGAAACTGAATGTGTTAGACTGAAATGGCTTCTCTGTGCACAGGATGGCATTCTTCTTGTATGTTCTGGACTGCATACAGGTTTCTGAGTCTGCTATGAACAGGTTGAACTATCTACTATGATCTACCTTGCTGGATGGCATTCTACTATATAGAAATTTCTGAGTATGTTCTGGATGGCATTCTACTATGTTGAAGTCCCTTTTGTTCAGTTCAACTATCACCATGAAGGCACAGTGAGATGGACATCATTATGTTATGTTACCTTTTTCTGATGAACTATTGCTCAGTTAAGTTTATTTTAAGTTTCAGTAGTGTTCAGTTTCTGAATGGTGGTGATTCTGTACTATCAAGTTTCAGTAGTGTTCAATTTCTGAATGGTGGTGATCTGTCAACTTTTGTTCAGTTAATAGTGTGCTGTTAAATTTCTTATAATTGGATGGATGGTGGTGTACTGTCAACTTTTGATTCTGTACTATCAAGTTTCAGTTAGACTGCAGTTTCTGCGTGTGCTCATTTCACATGAAGTGTGCACTGCATGTCTCCCGTTATTATGGACTAGTGAGTTATCTGAATGCTTCTAGTCATTCCATCTGAATTTTGTTCATCTTATTTATGCTTGAACCGGCTTCCATCAAACGGCCACACAATGGTTACAAATTGATATTCATGATTGATCTTGGATACATACAAAACATTAAACCTGCTTGTAGACGACCCTCCGTTTCTGGGTTGTATGACCTGTCTTTTTAATTGTTTCTATGTCAGATTTTAGTATCTTAGAGAAGACCTCCCGTCTCTAGACTGTACATGCCCTTATGTTTATTTAGGAATGACTTATGTTGTAAATGACGACAACAGCGATGCTTCTAGTTATTTGGGAGCATCTTTCTATTCCACAGCACACATGGTTTAAGATGAATGATGAATGCTGACAAAATCGATCGTAACATTAGGTAGAATTGGGGGCAGCGATGACGACACTTCAACTACTCAAAGGACAGCAGCTAGCGGTACTGAATTCCGAACATGCAATATTATGTACTCCCTCTGTGCTAAAGAAAATTGCAACTATGGGTTACATGCTAGTTAAAGTGGTTCAAGTTTGGCTAGTTTCTAATAAATGATATTCACATTTATAACTCGAAATCATTTTATTATAAAAGTACATTTCATAATTAATCTAATGATATTTATTTGATAATTGATATCATAAATATTGTCACTTTTTATGGACAACTAGTTAAGCTTAAGATATTAAAAACATCCACTGTGCTAGAATTATATTGTTTTCGGGTTGGAGTATCTTAGAGTCTGCTCAATTAGCAGACAAGATGGCATCACCAGGTCAAAACGATCAACACAACGTAAACGACAAGCATCTTTGACACTCAAACACAAGCATCTGAGATCAGCATCTCCCCCGAAGTTTTTTTTCTTTGTGGATTGATCATTGATGTGGTAGATCGATTCATATCTTAAGCATGCCAGGCAGCAACGACGACTCATCTAACTACCGAGTACAGCTAGCATTACTGAATTCAGAGCACACAGTATCAAATTATATGTGCCCGCGGAGAAAGTCATCTTGGGTTCAACATTCAGCATCTTTGAGACCCAAACACAAGGAATGCATGTGAGATCAGCATCTCCCCTGCATTTCTGTTAGATTGATCATTGATGCGGTACAATATCGAATTTATGCATCACATGGGTCCTCCCAATCAACAGGCAAGCGACGGCATCGCCAGGTCAAAGCGATGGACACCACACAAGCGACGGCGCTCGCGGACCGAGGCATCTTGGGTCCAAAAATTCAGCATCTCCGACACTCAAACACAAGCAGGTGAGATCAACATCTTCGTTGTTGTATTGCACGGATTCATATATATCACAAGCATTCTGACTCTAGCGAAAAACTTGTTTTTAGAATGCGCAGTCTGCCATACCCACGAGTCAATGCGTCACTATCCAAAGTCTCAAATTAAAGCTCATAACCAACCAAGTTTTCGCCTAGCTCAACCTTAAAGTCCTGTTTGACACAGCTGTGGTTCACTAATGGAGCAAGTTTTATTTTAGCTTGAGCTTCAGCAACTTCACCGGTGCAGCCGAAACTGGTCCTGTAAGGTTTGGTAGAACAGCTTCTTCTCACAGATAAAGAAGACAAAATAACCATTCTACCCTTTTTTTTATTTTCTTTATTTATTTCCTTCTTATACCCTTATTATATTGTTTGGCCTCCCAACGTCAAAATAAAAAACGCTGGTCCTCAATCGTGTGCCTAGCCCTCCCTCCCCGACCCGCATGTCTCCCTCTAGCCCTGCACGCTTCCCGGATCTGGGTCGTCGGTGTCGTCCCGCAACGCTCCGTCCCTGCACGGCTGCACCAGCTCCCTTCTCGCTGGTCCGACCTCGCCCCGCCTACTCTGTCCATGCGCCGTTGTCGCCATGCCCGTCCTCGCTCACCTTGTTCCATCCCTGCACCAGCTTCGTGGGCCCACGAGGGCATTGAGGAGCCGGGCAAGCTCAAAGCTTTGTGGGCATAGGACGGAGCAGTGTGGGGGCGTTTGGTATGCACGCACGTGGAACTGCTCGTGGAGCGTTATCAAACAGCCCCTAAAGGCTAACCTGATGAATAAAGGTGCCCCATGTTATAAGCTTACACCACTATATATATGCAACCAAAATTGGTATATCGTTTTTGCTATGCATCTAGAGTCCCAGATGCAGGCTATGTCTAAATAGTAAATACATAATAAAAACTATGTATATAAAAAAAGCCATAAAGACTTATAACTTAGAATAAACAAGGAGTATAAATAAACAAATAAAAACAACAAGCTCTAGGTAGGCCCTGTTCGTTTGGCTGAATTTGGCTGAACAACACTGTTCCGGCTGAATTATTGTGAGAGAAAACACTGTTTTTGTTGAAAAAAGAAGCCGAATAAACCGGATTATAAGGTAAGCCGAACGGGGTCTGGCGCCATGGGACCACTACGGGTTGGAATAGTTTTTTTAGCAGTACGTGACAGTCCCTGATTATGATGCCTCAACCGCCATGGGACCACTGTTGTATAAGATTAGCTAGATGTCCAGCCAATGGTTACGATAGTGATTGCACAATAAACAGCTTCCAAACACTTGAAACATGACATGATTGTTTTGCCTTAAGCAAGTGACCTACACTATATATTTAGCATGCGACGAGCAGTCTTGGTCAAGGATACGGGAGAGAAACAATTACGGAGAGAGCAGGCATGGTGACCAGCGGCGCGCTCCCTGTCGTGGACCTGGCGCCTTTCTTCACGGGGGACGCCAGCGGCATGGCCCGCGCCACGGAAGCCATGCGCGAGGCGTGCCGCACGCTCGGGTTCTTCCGTGCCGTCAACCATGGGGTGCCTGCCGAGCTCATGGCGAGCGCGCTGGAGGTGTCGGCCTCTTTCTTCGCGCTGCCGGACGAGGAGAAGGCCAAGGTCCGGCCGGCGGAGGGCTCCCAGGCGCCCCTCGCGGCTGGTTACGGGCTGCATCCGGCGCATCTGGTGGACAGGTACGAGTACGTGAGAGTATGCCATCCTCGGCACGAGCTCAACCTCTACTTCCCCGATGAGCCAGCCGGTTTCAGAGAAGCAATGGAGGAGTGCTACGCCAAGCTCACGGAGCTGGGGCTTCTCATCCAGGACATCCTGAACGACTGCATGGGGCTGCCGCCAGGCTTCCTCAGGGACTTCAACAGCGACCGCGGCTTGGACGTCATGGTGGCGCTGCGCTACTTCCCGTCGACGGAGCCGGAGGAGAAGATCGGGCTCAGCGAGCACGAGGACGGGAGTTGCATCAGCTTCGTCTTCCAGGACGGCGTCGGCGGCCTCGAGGTCCTCAAGGACGGGCAGTGGATCCCGGCGGAGCCCGTGGAGGGCAGCATCGTCGTCAACATAGGCGATGTCGTGAGGGTGCTGAGCAACAATAGGCTGAGGAGCGCGACGCACAGGGTGGTGAGGAAGCCGGTGCACAGGCACTCTTTCGGCTTCTTCTGGTCCATCCACGGCGACAAGTGGATCGAGCCCCTGCCGGAGTTCACGGCCAAGGTCGGCGATGCGCCGGAGTACAGGGGTTTCCAGTACAACGAGTATATGCAGCGGTTTATGAAGAGCAGGACTGATCCGCAGTGCAGGCCCGAGGACGCCTTCAGCGTCAGCCACTATGCCATCTAACTCGGAAAAATGGCTTTTATTTGCTCCCAGCCAGTGTGCAGGTCATGTGTGGAACTGTGGATCTTTACTGGGATATTCTGTATATTGTATTTTATTTCGTGGTGTTATTACTACCCCTGATGTGTCCGGAGCCTTCTTTTTGGGGTTACTTAATGACAGTACTGCTGTCTTTCTTCATCAGAAAAATAAAAGACGACTGCCATACATGGTAGCTGTCATATGCTGTCTTGTTATTTCTATATATCAAAGCAGGAAGGTTTAGCCGCTAACCAGGCCATCCACGTCGCCCGAAATTTCACTCGCCGTCCGATCTTGCGTTCGAAGGCCCAGATCAGTCGAAGCGGATTCTGTTACTTTGGCCACCTCTCGTAGCATCCACGTCACCCCAATTGTTCCAGGCCGTCGGATCTACCATCGTGTGGCCCTGACTGCTTGTAGCCGCTTCCTTTAGAATCTGCTTCTTCTGCCTCCTCGTCGCTCTATATTGATTTTGCTAGCTTCTGCGGCTTCTCGTGCGAATCCGGTGGAGCAAATATATACTCCAGCTCCTGATTCTCCTTCAGGAAACTTCTCATCCCCTCCTCTCCTTCTCTCCTGTACGCTTCCTCCCTCGCTCCCGACTCGCGACGCGGCTCAGGCGACGGTGCGGGACGACCTCGGCGGTGGCCGGCCCTCCGTGCGGCGGCAGCCTCCCTCCTCCTCCTCCTTTTCCTCCTCCTCCTCCTCCACCACCACCACCACGCCACTTCCTCCTCGCGACACAAGGCAGCGGGTCGCGTGGCCTAGGGTTTCGCCCCTCCGTCACCGGTCGTCCCCACGGCCGCGCGGCATGCTAGCGGAGGCCCTGACGCGCCGGAGGGCTATGGCGGCGGAGGAACCTCCGTGGTGGGCGTGGATGATGACGGGGAGGTCACGTCGGCAACCTTGGCAGTGGATCTGGAGCGGCCGCTCGCGGGGCCCCTCCCGGCGGCCGATCTGAAGCTGGAGCACAGCGTGGACCTCCGCAGGCAACGGAGGCGGTGGATCTGTGGCGAGCAGGCGGATCCAGCGCCAACCCTCCCCATCTCCATTAGATTCGGCTGGATGGCCTCCACCGATGGCCGGTGCGCGGGCGGCACGGTGGCACACGTCCGCGAGCTGGCCCCCGCTGCCCCCCGCAAGTGGCCAGGATGCAGCTCCTTCGACCTCACCTCGCACCCGGACCTCAAGCTCGCCCGCCGCATCGGGAGCGGCCTGCCCGGGCCCACCGAGCAAGAGTTGTGGGCCGGCACGCTGTCTCATGGCGGCGGCGGCGGCGGGGTCAAGCGGTGCAAGCACCGGGTGGCAGTGAAGAGGGTGCCCCTGCCCGCAGGGGACGGGCTCGAGGTTGTTCAGGAGGAGGTGAAGTGGCTCAGGCGCGCCTCCACATGGTGTCGGAACGTGTGCACATTCCATGGTGTTGTGAGGGTCGGCGACCACCTCTGTTTCATCATGGATCGCTATGTCGGGTCTGTGCAGGCGGAGATGCGGCAGAATGGTGGACGCCTCACACTAGAGCAGATTCTCAGGTCTGGCATTGCATCTAAACATCAGTACTTAGTAATATTGAGTAGCTATTCTTTCTGCTTTTATCGTGCCAATTATCGCTGCAAACATATCACATTGCAACATAGCGCTCACTTTTATTGTTACTCAGTACTCAGTAAGAACTAAGAAGCATGCCTAGCTAGAACATTCACTAAAGGTGGCAAATTGTGTAGTATGACATCTTGCTTTGAGAGGTGTGAAGTGATTGCCTTGTTAATGGCGTTATGCGTTTTGATTTTGTTGGTGCTGCTAGCTGTTTTGTTTGCTTATTTTCTATTGTTGTAAGGAAGGTCAGATTGGTCACAATTAGTGCTCATCATGTCGCTTGCCATTTCGCCGCAATGCCATGATATATTATGTGAATATCATAACTTTGGCTTGCAATTTGCTCGCTGAGTCAATTACCATCAAGTTATCAAGTTGTGGAGCTTCATTTTTTTTTATCTATTATCAGCTCAGAGTGTGGCTAACACTAATATATATATATGCTGAAATCATTAAAGTTCCTATGACATGCATATGTGTGAGTAAAATTTCTACGAGAATTAATATCACTATAGGAAATTTATGAAGTGCTGTGGTTTTCCCAGCAGGATTAGGCACTGGCACATTTAACATTTCTCTGCAAGACCCATGTGGTATTTAGAATGTAGGTATCTCCTTTCCTACCTTGCCGGCGCGCACGAGGGCGCGCGTGATGAACTAGTTACTGATAAGCGACTACATCTTACTTGACTAATGGCTTCAACAGAAACTCCAAGCTGATCCTCACAAGACGTGTTAGAAAAGAATATAAAAGCTAGAAATTCTCATAAAGATTACAAATATATGGCAATCATCTCGGTGGACTTTAATCACCGATAATAATAGATCGATTCTCATAAAAATTACAAATATACGACAATCATCTTGGTAGACTTTAATCATCGATAATAACAGAAACTGGATCTATTATGTTTTGTAGCCATCATGAAAAATCAATTATAAAGTAACACCTCAATCTAAACCTAAATTACCCACCTATTAACCATTAAACACAATCCAAAATATGTGGACCCTAAAATTAACCAGACCAATTAGTTAATAAGCAGACACCCTTGGCCCACATAAAACATAATCTAATTAATCTATTCGTCCCTGGTAGCACCATCCATGTTCACCAACTATGCAGCCTTCATCTAGAAACGTGTTACAAAAGATCACACATTGTTACACAGATCGATTCTACTTCACATGAAAACATAGTTCAAGTTTTACACATAACTTTGATCATCTCATTAGTTTACAACACACAAATAAGACTACAACAGAAATTTTGTTAACATAGTTGATACAACACCCACGAGCCACGTCATATATACTTGGAGTCTACTACGCCTAATACATCAGCCATCTAATACTCCCATTCCATCGGGGGATCGGGTCGGGGGCATAGGAGTATAAGAGGGTACTCACCTGCAAAACAAATTAAGATAGCAACTTGAGTACAAGAGGGTACTCAACAAATCTTATCCAAATTAAATAACAAGGATCATGCATATGGCTTTATTAGAAATATATAAAAGTTGGCTTTAGCATAAAGGCGTTTATACGATTTTGATAGTTGGGAGAGTTGTCCATATCAATAGATAACTCATCATTCATTGTCAATATTTAGTGGCAAACACTTAGTGCTTGTTTGGTAGCGCTCCTGGATCAGCTCTGCATCCCCAACAACCAAATATGACCCTTTTGGCTACACTCCATCAACTAGCTCATTGACCCTGTGCATGTTTGTTCTCTGAAAGACACCTCTGTGCTGCGCGAGGCTGGGGCTGCCAAGGTAGAGAGCACAGAGCCGCTAGAGCACCGAGGTGCGTGGCCACCAGGGCTTCAGGGCAGAGAAAGCCGGAGGCACACTACTACAGAACTAACCTTCACTGCCGGCCCATCACTGGTTTCATACAAACTGCTGGTAGTGATAAACCTTCACTGTCGGTTTTTAAGCAGAAAAATAAAAAATGATTGGGGTTCCTAATGAGCCGGGAGTGAAGGTCCTTATCACTACTGGCTCAAGCCACAAACTGAAATTATGATGAATTTCGCTTCTTCAGTGACGAAAGCTATTTGTCATATATGTGCAGATTTCTAGTAGTGTCCCCACCTCTCCCTCCATTGTTGCAGCCATTTTTCACGAAAATGCTCATGGAAGGTCTTGTATTTTGAGTGATATGGGCATGATCTTCTTGCTTTAAGGTCACTGTTTTTGATCTATCCTATGCAGAGATCTTGTACTGCCTATGCAGAGATTGCAAAAATTTGAGGCAATTTTGAAAACATGGAGTAGAAAATCATTTCACGGACTATTGAGACTCTGGGACCTCCAGAATATTGAGATGGGAGTGAGATATTTGAAGAAGTAAGCAAACTTCAAGTTGTCCTTGGGAAGGGGGCAGAGGCAGTACCCAGCCGATGCTCTGTGGAAGAAAAAAATCAGTTTTCTGGAAACTACCTTATTGGCCACTATTTTTTGTACGTCACTGTCTTGATCCCATGCACATTACTAAAAATGTGTGCAATAACACAATGAACACCTTGATGATCACAGGGGACCGCAAAGGATTCACTCGAAACATGCATGGACATGCAACAATTGGGACTAAGGAAGGAGCTACATCCCATAACTCTTGAGGATGGGTAGAGGAAACTTCCGGTTGTATCATGGGTCTTGAAAAAGGAAGGAAAGGCAATGCTCTATTCTTTCTTCAATAAACTCAAAGTACCGACATGTTGCTGTGCCAAAAGTATCGGCGCCCCAAGCTTGGAAAAAAGATCGCAGTTTGGAGTCGATTGGGCATGCCCCCTAAGCCTTGTCTCTCAGAATACGAAGGCAAATCAAAAGTGAAGCGAATGAAGACAGAGTCCAAGAAGCAAACACTACAGAGAAGATGCAACTTGCTAAAGTGACGGGCATGAGCTTGGAGTAAGTCGAGATCCATTTGGCCAGCAACCAAGAATTTGAAAAGGCACCAGTTGCATATAGCTATAAAAAGGCGAAGATCTGCTGGCCATTGAAAGGGAGATCAAAGATTTGCCGACATCTATGAGTCAACTACATGAATATTACAAGATCTATAGTGTAAAAGGGGACAAGTGTAAGGATCGAGATGGCGGACTAGGGGGGGTGAATAGTATTTTCTAAAATTAATTGCGTCGGCTAACCGATATAAATGCGGAATTAAAACAATCGGTCTAGCCAAGACTACACCCCTCTATATACGACCGCTCACTTGGTGGTTCGGCGGCTAATTAGCATCACCCGCTAAGCCCACACGTCGGGCACCGCAAGAACCTACCCCTTGAGTGAGGGTAGCTCAATGACACGCTTTACTAGAGTTGCTCTTCGCGGCTCCCGCAGGGCGAGCACAATGCATCTCACAAGCACTTCTCCGGAG